GAAAGTTCAATAAATTATTAATGAAAGTTTTTTTTTAATTGTACTTTAATATAGTATTACTGATAATCAATATATTATATACTGATTTAGAAATGACTGATAAAATAGAAGAACAAAAAAAGTGACAAAAAAAAACATAATGACATATTTCATTACACATTTTTCTTTAAATTCTTAATATCAATATAACTATTAAAGTTGGATATATGACATACTTATCATTAATAAAAGGTAACTTGATGGGCAATTCAACTAGCACACCATATACAGGGTGTATCTGAATGACATGCCCAAACTTCAGGGGGTGATTCTTTAGGCAATTTTAAGGGTACTTTGATATATAAACCATGGGCGACTTGGGCTCCCCTAAGGAGCTACACCCCTCCAAAAATGGCGGAAAATTTTGGTTTAATTTTTTTTTCTCAAAAACCATAAACGCTAGGACAACGAAATTTGGGGAATATGTTTAACTGGTAGTAGGGCACGTTTTCACCCTATTTGTACTTTCAACCTATCCTTCTAAACTACTAAACGTAACCACCCCCTTTACATTTTTGCTAAAATTTTTTTATGCAGAGGGTAAATACATTAAAAAAAAATTACATAGGTAGATGAAAGTATCCTAAAACTTTTTTGTCTCTCTAAAATTTTTCCAAAAACGACTAATTTTTGAGAAAAAAAATAATAAAGCAAACACTGCCCGTTAAACAACGGGGTTGTCGATCAAAAGTTGGAATGAATTTTTAATGAAAAAATCTTAGTAGGCTTTGCAATCTTTGTCAGAAATATTTTTGACGTTTAAATGTCAGTGTTTTTCTTACTATTATTATTGTTTTTCAAATTAATTTTTAAATAAAGTTCTATCGCATTTACGCTCGTTCACTCGACGTTTCAAAATTTTAAATAAAACAATAATAATAGTAAGAAAACCACTGACATTTAAACGTCAAAAATATTTCTGACAAAGATTGCAAAGCCTACTAAGATTTTTTCATTAAAAATTCATTCCAACTTTCGATTAACAACCCTACAGCTTAACAGTTAGTGTTTGCTTAATTATTTTTTTTCTCAGAAATTATTAAATTTTCGAAGAACATCAGAGAGACAAAAAAGTTTTAGAATAGTTTTATCTATCTAACTGAAATTTTTCCAATGTATTTATCATCTTCATAAAAAAAATCTAGGCATAAATTGAACGGGGGTGGTTACGTTTAGTAGTTTAGAAGGGTAGGTTGAAAGTACAAATAGGGTCAAAACGTGCCCTATTATGAGTTAAACATATTCCCCAAATTTCATTTTCCTAGCGTTTATGGTTTTTGAGAAAAACAAATTAAACCAAAATTTTCCGCCATTTTTGGAGGGGTGTAGCTCCTTAGGGGAGCCGAAGTCGCCCATGGTTCATATATCAAAGTACCCTTAAAATTCACTAAAGAATCACCCCTTGAAGTTTGTTGCAGTCATTCAGATACACCCTGTATAGGTGTTCCATTTAAAAAACTTTAAAAAAGCTATTTGAAAAATATCCAAATGTTATATGGCAGCAAAATTATTTTACATTATAAAATATTAATCAAATAATAAAAGGAAGAACAAAAAAAACTGATAAATATGGACACAATATAATATTAAATACAATAACGCATATTTTATTACACATTATTCTTTAAATTCCTAATATCAGGAAAACTACTATTAGGTATATGACATACTTATCATTAATTAAAGGTAACTTGATGGGCAATTGAACCAGCACATAATATACAGGCTGTTACATTTAAAAAACTTATGAAAAAGCCATTTGAAAATCATCAAAAGTAACTAAGCTTTATGAATACGCTGTATAGCGTATCTAATATCTTTGTTACTATCATTTATCTACTGGCTTTGGATATTATTTGACATAGTTTCAAGGCAAAACTGGAAAAAATGTCGTTTTTAAAAAGATCCTGCAATGGACACATTTTGGAAAAACAATTGAATATCTCAGGAACTATGAACGCTATGAGTTATTAACATATATGCGATAAACGATAAAATGTATAGGGTGTTCCATATAAAAGAATCTACATACTCTCCGTTACGCTTAAATGGAACATCCTGTATAAGTGAAAATAATTTTACGTAATAAAAAGTGATGACTCAAACAACTTTTATATAAAACATTTTTTTCTTTCTCAAACGGTTTAGCAACTATTGTCCACCGGGATACTAATAACTCACCCTGTATATACAGGTGTCCCATATCTTCCGCATCAGAGCATTATACGGTTGTAGGATACATTATTCTGAAGCAATTTTTCTAATAACATTTTTCCGAAATGTTTATAATAACCGCACGGGAACTGTTTAAAGTTGTCCAATAGCAATTTTCCGTGAATCACGAAAAAAACTTTATTTCTCTTTCCGTGTCGAATCTGTTGGTGAGTACACGAAAGCTAGTACTTAAGCTTTTGTTGAATTGCTATTGGACAAAAAACAGTTCGTTTAAACAGTTCCCGTTGAAACATCGCTCCAGAATAATGTATCCTACAACCGTATAATGCTATGATGCGGAAGATACGGGACACCTGTATATATATATATATAGCGCCTTATTTTTTTTTAGCCACACTATGGGTATTACTTTCAAAATATTTGGCAGTAATATGTTTTAGGACATCCTCTACACGATGGTGATATCATATTTTCAATTGGACGAAATATTTCAAAATGGCGACTGTCAACTTTTTTTTTTAAATGGAATGCCAAATTTTTTTTTTATTATTGAGATCATAAAAACATTCCTTTTACGATAGTATTTTGTTTTTCTTAAAAATTCATTTCTTTCCCCATCAAAAAGCAAACTAACATTGTAATCTAGTAGCACAAGTATGTTTTACACTCGATGTTATTATTGTCCAAATAAATAAGTAGATGTTTATTACAAAATAAAGTTTAATGGTTTCTTTTGTGTCTAGCGCTACTTGATATTTGGACAAAAATAACATCGAGTGTAAAACATTCATGCGCTACTAGATTAAAATGTTAGATTGTTTTTTGATGGAGAAAGAAATGAATTTTTAAGAAAACGTTCAATCTTCAAGAAAATCTTCACAACGGAGAGTTTAAGAAAAAAAATTTGTTAGCAAAAAGTAATCAGTTTGTCAAGTTGTTTAAGAAAACTTTGAAAGAAAAAAGTATAGGTGCCATTTGAAAAAATAAAAGTTACGTCAGAAGGGCCTTTAGGCAACCCTGAAAAAAATTCTGTTCTCACCAAAATATGTTTACTTGAAACTTTTTTCGATTCGAGTTTTTGTTTTTGAGATATAAGCATATGGCATTTTAAATGAAACACCCCGTATATATAAATATACCGGGTGATTCAGACCACCCGTACCAGGGATTTTTCTCAAAAACGCGATTACCTAAGAAGTTGCAATAAAAAACCGGAAGTTGGTGGTAATGACATCAACTTAAAAATTTTCCAAGTTGTCATATGAATTAAGTTTTATCGTAGAATAGATATTTTAAAAATAAACAACTCTTACTTTAACTCTTCTTAGATTTAATGCAACGTTTAAGTNTATCGTAGAATAGATATTTTAAAAATAAACAGCTTTTACTTTATTACAACATTTTTTTTCCTTATTTTTTCGTATATGAAAATTTTTAAGTTGATGTCATTACCACCAACTTCCGGTGTTACCAGCCTGATAAAAACTGGTACATTGGATTCTTCATATACGATTTTATTATCATATTTTTTATTGCAACTTCTTAGGTAATTGCGTTTTTGAGAAAAATCCCTGGTACGGGTGGTCTGAATCACCCGGTATATGTATATGAATTTAAATTTGTGTATACCTAAATATAGTGTGTCCGAGCAGCAAAGCAAGATAGAAATAAGAAGTCTTCACCAAATAAAAGGAATCTCTTTAAATTTTCGTAGTATGTTAACGCAACAACCATAAGATGCAGCCGATCAGTCCACGCCAAACGAGATGTGGACGGTACAAAGAAAATGTGGTGGCATGAACACAGTTTTTAACGTTAAACAAATACCTTGACATGTTGGAATTGTGCAGTGCTGCAATTTCCAGAAAGTGTTATCTTTCACACTATGGCAAAATAATTTTTGAGTTTCTGGATAACCCAACCCAACCCAACCCAACCTTCCCCCAGCAGTGGTTCTATCAAGCCATGTCCACCATGATTATTAAGTTATAGGAAGGAGAAGCAAAATAAAGTTGTTTATTAGCAGATCGCATACAAACCACAAGCTGAGGAAAAAAATTTCATCTGATTTGCTGAGTTAGGTTCGATTGAGTTTCTGGTAATGAGGAAGTTCTGTGTCCAAAATTAGATTGAGATCAACTCATAGGTAAACACTTCTGCCATACACTAATAGCTCTGTCAGAAAGGGATTAGGATGATGTTAGCTTAATTCTGCAAAATTGAAAATGATAATTGTTGGGAATATGGTCATAAAACAGTGCAGAAGACAATATCAAAAAGAACGCAACTACATCATATGCTCATCAATATGTTTGTCAGGCATAATTTACAGCTTTGCATTTTTGAAATTGTTATTGGCCAAAATGTTTGTTTAGAAATTAATGTATAATAAAATCAGTTTAGTGATATGGACTCAACCGTAGATTATTTTCTTTATGTCACATTTTATGTTACAAAAAAGAAATCAACAAAATACCACGCCATTACTTACACACTAACCACCAAGACAAAATCGTAAACAAAAAAGAAAAAAAAAGTAAAATGGGCATATCTCAGAAACAATTAATACTGGTGGCGTATATCATTTTGCGGGCGGCGCGCCTTAAGTGGACGTCGTTTAGCGCACGTTCGAACCACGCCCCGGCGTCCTTTAACCAGGGGGCCCTTAACGAGCACGTTGATTAATGAGCACGGGGCGCCGTCTACGCCTATCGGGCGTGCTCAAAACAAGCCTCTGCCCACCGCTACCTTTCCAGACAGGTAACCCAGTGCTAGTTGGTTCACGCCAATACACACCTGCACACTTCTGCGTCGTAGGCGCCGAACGGACACGCTCTCCTTTTACAAATCCGGGGGCTCGTTCTTTTGAACGATAAAACCGAACGGAATACTTACTACATCACGGCGACGGTTTTCTTGTATCAAAAAAACCATCAATAAAAAAAAATTTTTTAATCATTGTTTTTTTTTTCGGTTTTTGTGTTGATTTTGAGTGCCGATTTTATTACAAAATTGTTTTCGTTAGTTGACATAGTGCTTGATTTTTTTCATTAATAAGGTTGTTTTGTTGACTACATTTGTTAATAGTGATAATCATTTTTAGTGTTTAAATTTTGTTTGTGAATGTTTAATTGTTTTTGTGGACAAAAGTTTGGAACTCTTTGGATCAAGGTAAGTTTTAGAATTACCTCATCAAATTCAATTCTAAATAGAAATAATCTTTGTAAATACAGTTTCGCTTGCAGACCTCCTAAGTACTTGTCCCATAAAAATATGTCACAAAGAGATCAGAAGAATATAGCCTTTTTGTTTGTACATTCCATTTTATTTGAAGTCTAAATGAGCCAGACTTGGTAAATTATGTAGAATCTCAAAAAATTGATCTAAAAAAAAGGATCAACAAAGTATTGGGTACCCGCGTTTATTTTCTGCAAACACTGTCTCTTTGCGTTTGTAAATCACTCAAGATTTTCAGTACACCAGTACCGAAATTTGAGAATATTTGAGGTTGATATAATATTAATCATTGAACCTCAGTAACAACAGACTTCTGCTTAATTAAGTCATTATGATGTACATTATGATGACCAGTTTTGGTTGATATGATCTTAATCACTGAGCCTCAGCCTCAAGCAACCTCAGCTTAGTTAGTCAAAACATGTACAGGGTGTCCAAATTTCGATGAGTTTGCAGGATATCTCAGTTATTATGAAAGATAGAAAGTTGCGGCTTTCGCGAACCTAAGCTACTTTTTTGTGAAACTTACAATGGTGCAAACCAAATTTTCATAGCCCTCTTCGTTTTTGATATACAGGGAGTGTTTGAAATTTACGATTTTCTGTATCTCGGCTATCCGGAAACTTAGTAAAAAAGTAAAAACGGGTTCTAATAGATTTTTTCACGTGGAATCCAATGGTGCACGTAGAATTTTTCTACTCATCACGGTTTTTGAGTTATAAACACAACTCAAACTTACTGAATACTCAACTTCTAAAATACTTAACTCTTTATAACTCAAAAACCGTGATGACTAGAAAAAATCTACGTACACCGTTGGATTCCACGTGAAAAAATCTATTAGAACCCGTTTTTACTTTTTTACTAAGTTTCGGGATAGCCGAGATACAGGAGGTGTCTGAAAATCGTAAATTTTGATACACTCCCTGTATATCAAAAACGAAAAGGGCTATGAAAATTTGGTTTGCGCCATTGTAAGTTTCACAAAAAAGTAGCTCAGATTCGCGAAAGCCGCAACTTTCATAATAACTGAGATACCCTGCAAACCCATCGAAATTTGGACACCCTGTACAGCTCCAGTTTATAAAGCGGCCGAGGCATTACTATATGATGACCAATTTCAGGTTGATATAATATTAATCACTGAGCCTCAACCTCACATATTGTGGCGCCTCGACCGCAAGCTTTATGGCACAAAATTGTAGATCTTTTCAAGATCATATCAACCTGAAGCTGGTAATTACATTGTGATGATGATTGTAGATCTAAGCCGAGGTTGCTTGCTGCCAAAACATGGTTACAAACTCAAGTAATGCTTATTTAACAAATTATGTACATAAACTAATGGCTTGAGTATCTGAGTGCAGATCTAAAAACGTTTCTGATAAATCAATCTCTAAATCTAAACCTTATGGTATCTTGTGGTAGCTCTAAGTTGACTTATAAAAGTGTTATTGCAGCAATCAAAGATGAGAAAGAATCATTTCAAAATAACAAAATTTTTTTGAATGCAAAAAGTAATGAATTTTCATTATTTAATTAGTCCCACCTAAAATAACGTTGTGTATGAAAAAACGTCAATCAATTTTAATTCATTTCCAAACTAATTAACATTATGCAAATTTGTTTAAGTAAAACACCGCACAATCTTTATTTCTAGTCATAAAAGCACTAAAAACTTTTAGATTTTAATTATTTAAAAGACTTTTAAAATCGTTTAATTAGAAGTATTTGTTTTATTAATCCATACATGTTTTATATTTGTATAAAACATTTCTGTTATAACATAACCCAAATTATACTAAATAAATTCTTTATAACACACCAAGAAATCAATACTAATTTTTATGTAAACGATGGTTTTACGATTTCCGTCGACAGACATAAATAATAAAAAAAAAAACGACGGATAATAATGATGCAAAATAAATTCAGTTGCCTCGCCCCATTTAGGAGTTTATTGTTGCCTTATTTACATTCGCTTTTAAATTACTGTCGGTGTGTAAATGCAAAACGACCGCTTTTTAGTAGATAAACAACGCACTATCCGTCGTATAATTTAAATTAATTAATGATATTCATTACGGTGACAAGTACGTTTTTTAATTTTTTAACAATTAGCGGTTTTAATTGATTTCTATAAATTTATCTTTTTGAATATTTAAAATTATTAAAAAAAAAATAAAATAGTTTAAAATAAATTCTTTTAATAATAATTTCAATAACTCTATGTTTGATTGCTGTAAACAAAGTGAAAAATAATATTGTAACACGTGAAGACAACGTGTATCAGTAAAAATTAAAATTGCGATCATTATAGTATAACATGTATAGAGGCCAATATCCTGCATAATTTTTAATATATTCCACTCAGCGCGCGTTATCGTCGCATAATTACCCTCCCTCAATTTACTTTATCGCTACTTTTGTTACCTTTAGTAATTGGCACGAATTTTACTATAATTACAACCGATTTTTAAATAACCTTAAAATAACCAACAACATATATTTAAGTACTTAGATAACATATAGATAAATAGTTATTAATATTTTTCGTTTCCTTTCGTTTTTATTCTTACATTTGTTTTCAACGCATGTGGTTAAACCAAGAATATGTTGTTATAGGGGTCGTGGATTCATTTTGGATACTAAGAGATGGAAGGAGGAGAATGCTTAGAAATGGATTTGAGTACTAATAGGCAACGAGATCAGCAAGCTCCGGATAGTTGTAAAGTTAGGGTAGCGAAAAGTGTTTTTTCTATAAGAAGCCTAGTCGATATTGGTGAAGGTGGAGAGAAATCAGAGGAAGAAGTTAACCAAAATAGTTCAATAAATACTGCACAAGGTAAGTTTTTGTATTGAGAAAATATCTTTGTAGCGGAAATCATATCCATACTTTAAATTAGACCTTAAAGAATCCTTATGAAGGTCTTGTATAAAACGTTATATGTTTAATATATAAATTTAGGAGAAAAACATTTCTGAAAAAATTGTTGTAGAAAAAATTTTGGGTTAAGGAATTAAATTCAAAAAATCATATCTGCTTTAATTGAGGGAATTATAAAATGAGCTATACTTTAAATTAAACCTTAAACAGTCTGTTTTAAGATGACGTATAAAAAGTTATATGTTAAATGTATAAATTTAGGAGAAAAACATTTCTGAAGAAATTGTTGTAAAAATAAGGTTGGGTTAAGGAATTATATTAAATTCAAAAAGTTATATCTGCTTTAATTTTCGAAACTATGAAACGAGTTATACTTTAAATTAAACCGTAAAGAGTCCTTATTAAGGTGATGTAAAAAGCGTTATATGTTTAATGTATAAATTTATGAAAAAAACATTTCTGAAGAAATTGTTGTAAAAATAAGGTTGGGTTAAGAAATCAAATTAAATTCAAAAATTCATATCTGCTTTAATTTTCGGAATTATGAAATGAGTTATACTTTAAATTAAACCGTAAAGACTGCTTATTAAGGTGATGTATAAAATGTTATATGTTAAATGTATAAATTTACGAGAAAAACGTTTTTGAAGAAATTATTGTTAAAATAAGTTTGGGCTAAGGAATTATATTAAATTCAAAAAATCATATCTGCTTTAATTTTTGGAATTATGAAATGAGTTATACTTTAAATTAAACCGTAAAGAGTGCTGATTAAGGTGATGTATAAAATGTTATATGTTAAATGTATAAATTTAGGAGAAAAACGTTTTTGAAGAAATTATTGTTAAAATTAGTTTGGGCTAAGGAATTATATTAAATTCAAAAAATCATAACTGGTCTAATTTTTGGAATTATAAAGTGAGTTATACTTTAAATTAAACCTTAAACAGTGCTTCTTAAGGTGATGTATAAAACGTTATATGTTTAATGTGCAAATTTAGGAGAAAAACATTTCTGAAGAAATTGTTGTAAAAATAACTTTGGGTTAAGGAATTAAATTCAAAAAATCATATCTGCTTTAATTTTTGGAATTACAAAATGAGCTATACTTTAAATTAAACCTTAAAAAGTCTGTTTTAAGATGATGTATAAAAAGTTATATGTTAAATGTATAAATTTAGGAGAAAAACATTTCTGAAGAAATTGTTGTAAAAAGAAGGTTGGGTTAAGGAATTAAATTAAATTCAAAAATTCATATCTGCTTTAATTTTTGGAATTATGAAATGAGTTATACTTTAAATTAAACCGTAAAGAGTGCTTATTAAGATGATGTATAAAAAGTTATATGTTTAATGTCTAAATTTAGAAGAAAAACATTTCTGAAGAAATTGTTATAAAAATAACTTTGGGTTAAGGAATTAAATTCAAAAAAATCATATCTGCTTTAATTTTTGGAGTTATAAAATGAATAATACTTTAAATTAAACCTTAAAGAGTGCTTATTAAGGTGATGTATAAAACGTTATATGTTTAATGTGCAAATTTAGGAGAAAAATAGTTCTAAACAAATTATTGTAAAATTAATTTTTGTTAAGGAATTAAATTCAAAAAATCATATCTGCTTTAATTGTGGGAATTACAAAATGAGCTATACTTTAAATTAAACCTTAAAAAGTCTGTTTTAAAATGATCTATAAAAAGTTATATGTTGAATGTATTAATTTGGAAGAAAAACATTTTTGAAGAAATACTTTCTCACTAATTTTATTTATAATTATATATTTCAAACATCTTCAATCCAACTATTATTAATCGGCAATTCGTTCCTCCCTTAAGGCTAAAGCCTGTTATGGTCAAGACATCGACGAAGTTCTTGATTAGAATTTATAGCCAGCAATTCGCTCTTATAATGTGCTCTTCGAATCTCGAACCAAAACACCAACATTTACATTTATCCATCTCGCTCTCAACGAAATCTTCCACGCGCGTTTCTTTCTTGTTTCAACGTCTCTTCTTATACACCTTAATATGCATTAGAGTGGGGTCAAAGAGGGAACAAAAGGCGATAATCGTTAACGTCTAAAAGCAAAATTTACAACTAAAGAGGCGACTATCAGCATTCAGACGGATTTTTCGGTTTTCTCTTTTTTTTTTCATCGTGTCTTTTAAATCACTTTTAAGTTTTTTTTGTTTACTTTTTAAGGTTTTTTTAATTTCTTCTCGAATGAATTTTCAATTATATTCCTTAATTGTGATTTACTGCGCATAAATATGGTTATTATGGGGTAGGGCGCAGCTCCGCAAAGATCATTATGACGATAATTATATGGACTGATTGGTCGAAACAATCGTCCACCAGCACTCGACTATATAAACTCCGTTTTAATTTAATCGCGTGGTCTCTTAGTTATGATATATTCCAAGAACTTTTTAACAAAACAAAAAATTTTAAAAGAACAAGTATGTATCATTAGTATGTAGATTAGTGAATAATTTATTCCGGATAACGCAAGATAATTTCAGTCAACTCTCGGTTTGTATTTACGATTATAGTAGTACCATAGTATTTTGAATAAATGCTTTTTGAATGCATCATCATCCGTTTAGTAGTTTTTAAATACTTTGACATTGAGAAATCTTTTAAGTAATCATTAACGTTATTATCAAGTGTGATGTGTTTATGCAAAATTATAGTACCTACATATATTTTTTCATCACAGTTATTATCGATATAGGGATAACATAAATTGAAGACTGCGAAAACGGGATATATTCTACATAAAAAACCGATAGCATAAAATAAAGTCGTATAACAACTGTAGCGGTCGTTACAAATTACCCGTATACCATGACCAGTGTTTCATTTATTAATTCGAACAGAGGGCGATATAGCTTATATACCAACATAGACACACTCAAGTATGATACTTTAAGAGTAACGTATTACTTATGCATTCGGAGAGTTTGTTAGAGTTACGGAATGCAGCAGGTAGCTAAAGCAAACGCGTTTATAGTGATAGTGCTAGTTTAAATGAGCTCTCTCGTTCCTTATTTAATACGTAAGTAACATGGGTACTACAACACAAATCAGGCTCGTATATTGATAAGCTTAATGTCTTCGAGAGCGTGTTACCAATAAATCCGTTGAGTGCGTTCCTATTGGATTTGTTTTCTAACTGGATATGTCTTATTGGGACGATAAGCTTACATTTTTTTTTAATTAAGATTTATTGAGTGTTTCAACATATTTATGTAGCTATCAAATTAAAAATAGATTTTGATAAATGTGTCTAATTTTGTTCAATTTGTACGTTTAATTGTCACAACAAATATATCATATTATATTTCAATTTTAATAAAAATCCATGAAAAATCCTTTAAAATGAATCCAAACACGATATATTTACGTATTAAACTTTCCGAGATATCTTGATTTTTGATTTTTGGCAAAATCCAAGATGGCCGAAATAAAATGATTCCCAAATATTCCGATAGATAATTAAAAAACGAGTAAAATGAGTCCAAACTCGACATATCTAAGTGTTATAATACTCAAGATATCTTTATTTTTACAAAATCAAGATGGCCGAAAACAAAACACTCATTAATAGTAAAATCTATGTTTTTAAATGTAATTTTTATGATAGATATGGGTTGTGATACATCAAATTAGGTTAAAATTTTCTGATTAATACGAAATTATTACTTTTTTGCTGAAATTGAATGTTTACAAAATTCAAAATGGCCGCAAAACAAATAATTTGGAAATGTTACGATAGATAATTAAAAAACACTTAAAATGAGTCCAAACTCGATATATCTAAGTATAATAGTACCGAAATTAAAATTATTTTTATAAAATCAAGATGGCCGAAAACAAAACACTAATTATTTATGTCATTTATTCTTTTAAAAATAAATTTATGGCGGATATAGAGTGTGATACATCAAATTAGGTTAAAATTTTCTGATTAATACGAAATTATTACTTTTTTGGTGAAATTGAATGTTTATAAAATTCAAAATGGCCGCAAAACAAATAATTTGTAAATATTACGATAGATAATTAAAAAACACTTAAAATGAGTCCAAACTCGATATATCTAAGTGTAATAGTACCGAAATTAAAATTATTTTTATAAAATCAAGATGGCTGGAAACAAAACACTAATTATTTATGTCATTTATTCTTTTAAAAATAAATTTTATGGCGGATATAGAGTGTGATACATCAAATTAGGTTAAAATTTTCTGATTAATACGAAATTATTACTTTTTT